TAGTACATCACAGTATATCGTAGTACATCACAGTACATCACAGTACATCATATTCCTGCCAATACACGTCCTTAACAATCATATATTTTTAAATAAATGTCCCAGTTAAATCTTATTCAAACAGAACCACCAACAAATTCATAATCTGTGATCTGACCTTTGACCCTGGAACTCGTCGTCTTCTGTCTCTTCGTTCCCAGGATGAGCTCAGTTTGGCAGAGTTTGGAGGAGAAGAGGAGCAGAGAGACGGTGTGTCAGCTGAACGCCGCAGGTCGTACCACCGAGGCGTGCTGGAGAAAAAACTGAGCATCGCAGAGCGTGCTGTAGAAACCAACCCTGGCTGCATAGCACTGCAGCTGGAGAGGCTCAGGATCTGCCAGGAGCTGTGGGAGCCCTCGCTCCTCGTTAAAGAATGGAAGAAACTGGTGAGTCCGATGGTCTGATGGGTTCTCGGGGGTCTCCATTTGTTTGTGAACGACTGGTCCCACTGAAGTGAACTGGGACGTTAACTCTCCCTCCTCAGGTGTTCGTTCATCCAAACAGCGCACCCTTGTGGAGGGAATACCTGCTTTTCAACCAGAGCTACTTCAGCAGCTTCACCGTGTCCAAAGTCAACGCTGCTTATGGAAAGTGTTTGAGCACCCTGAGCTCGGTGCAGGACGGCAGCATGGTCTCTCATCCGCCTCTGCCAGGGACTGAGAGCCATATGTTGGGTAGGAGTTCAGTCATTTCAAAAATATATTTGTCTTTGTTTAAAGGTTGTTTTTGAATATGTTGCCTGTGCGTGTGTGTTTCTTCAGACATCTTCATCCAGCAGTGTCACTTCCTGCGGCAGGCGGGTCACTCAGAGAAGGCGGTCTCTCTTTTCCAGGCCATGATCGACTTCACGTTCTTCAAACCTGACAACGTTCGAAAACTGACGACGAAGCAGCAGGTTAGTGCGTTAGAACTGAAGAATCTTTGACAGTTTATGACCTACCTGAGATAAACAGATGAAGGTTTTCCTCCAGGTGGAGTTCTTTGAGCCGTTCTGGGACAGTGGGGAGGCCAGGGTCGGGGAGTCAGGAGCCAGAGGCTGGAAGGCCTGGATGCTGCAGCAGGAGCGGGGCGGGTGGATACAGCCCGGTGCAGGTGACACACACGCACACACACACACACACACACGTTGAGTCCTAGTGCTAGTCCTGCTTAGAATGGTAATGTGGACGTGTGTGTGTTTCCAGAGGAGGATGAAGAGGAGGAGGAGGAGGAGGTGGAGGAGGTGAAGGATCCCAGTCAGCCCAGAGCTGAAGTCTGGCTGGACGTGGAGTCGTCTCGTGAAGCGGCTCACTGGTTGCCATGGAGACCAGACAAAGCCAAAGGTCAATCAGAAGAGGACTGTGAGGACCCAGACAGACAGGTCTGCAGAACCGCAGCTTTAACCACATGTGCAGTGAAATGGGTCTGAAGTTCAAGTCTCATGTGATGTCATTGTAACTGCCCCCCCGTCACCAACTGCAGGTGTTGTTCGATGACATTGGACCGTCACTAATCTGTCTGTCGTCACCTGACCTTCAACTCAGGCTTCTCCTCCATTTCCTGTCCTTCCTGGGTCTGCCTGTTGACCCGGTGCTCTGTGCTGCCCCCTGTCAGTCTGGACTCCTGCTGGAGAACCTGTCGTTCCTCACTCAGGGTAAAAAACAGAGAATGAATTTGAATTCTTGAGTTGAGTGTGTGGTTGATGACCAGTGTTGACGTCAGTGGTTATTGGACTTCATCTTGTGTCCCAGGGAACGATCAGCAGCGTCCACTGACGTCACATGACCTCACTGACTCTGGGGTCAGCTCTCTCGGTCACATGACAACCCTTCAGATAACGAGAAGACGTGTTGGTCTGGGGAAGCAGGGAGAGAAGTTTCTGACCAGTGTGTTCAGTATGGTGCGACCCGTCCTTCCTCCTCACCACCGGGCGGTGCTGTGTCTCAGCTGGATGCAGTACGAGAAACTTAAGGTATGATTCAGTTACTTATCTCAGACGTAATAAAATATTTTTGTCTTTTTTTTTAAAAAAGAGAATGAAGATAAATGTGTGTGTGTGTCAGGTCTTGCACCATTTGCGCAGTGGAAACAAGAAGCGTCTTCGTTCTCAAGGAAAGAAAAGCAAACGTGTTTCCAAGGGACTTCTTAAAGAACCAGAAAACCGCTCATCGCTGGTGCTTTGGCGAGAGTATGCTCACCTGGAGTGGTTGCTGGGAAACACGGACGAAGCCCGCAAAGTGTTGGCCACGGCCGTGGGGACTGAGGGGACCAGAGGTTTGAGCTGCCCCTCCCTGTGTGACCTCTGTCTCCTGTGGTCCCAGCTGGAGCTGGAGGACAAAGGGCTTCCAGCTGAAGCGACCGCCTCCCCCTCCGTCATGGTGCTGACTCAGCTAGCAGAAGCCTCCGGCGTCGCTCATCCTTCGTCCTCCCAGTGCCTGTCTCCAGTATCGGTACTGAAAGCCAGGAAGTCGTACGAGCAGGCGTTGTTAGCCCGCTTGTCGGCTGTGGAGCTAGCCCCCGCCAACAGAAAAGGTTAGGGTTTTCATTTGTCAAACTTTTTTTAAGTCACCTTTGACTTTTATCCACGGATGCCAAGCTATTCTTTGAAGGTCTGCTTGTTTAGTGTCTCCATAGCAACCATTGTTTTGGTAACTTCAACAACAGACACCTGTTTAAACACAGTGTCTGTGAATACTGACATCACAGACACTGTAGTAGAAGGAAACACTCAGATAATAACATCATGTCAGTTTCCCTGTTGAACTGAGGCCTCTGAAAATACTGAGTCAAGAGAGATTTAAAATAATAATGATTTGTTTTAGTTGCTAATACATTTAGCCAAAAAACAAAACTTAAATATTAGGACTGTGTGTTGGCAAGAACCTGACGATACCATATACTGTGATACTTCTCTTACACCTCTGCCAAACATATTATCTTTTATCTAATCTGTACAACAGCCTGTAGGACCAGAGTATTTTTGGTCATTTGTTTTACGTCCTTTCCCTTTAACTTCCATCATATTCAGTGATTAATGTGTTTATAACTGGTCATACTGCCATCTGTAGGTGAGGAGGACTGGTCAGGGGAGCAGCTGAGGCTCAGTGGTTTGGTTGGCTGCTACGCTCTGTTCCAGTTCCTCACAGTTGGTGTTGAAGCAGCAAACGTGGTCTACAGCCAGGCCAGAGAGAGGATGGAGGCGCTGCATCACAAGACGAACCGTCCGTCTGACCCCGGGCTCACTGACACGCCGCTGGTCAACAGACTGGCTGCCGAGAGTCGAACCTTAGCTGTACAGCAGGCAGCTCTGCTCAGGTACCACAGCAGCACCGCTGTGTTTCCTTTGGCCACACTCAGGCAAACGCTGACCTCTGCCCTTTCAACCTGGCCCAACTGTGCCCCCCTGTGGACAATATATATACAGGTAAGAGTTAAGAAACGGTCGACATTGTTCTTATCTGTCCTGAACAGAACATCGAAATACTGCGATATTATAGCTGTGTGTGTGTGTGTATGTAACGCCTCGATATATGGTGTGGTTGTCCCTGTACCGTGGTGCGTGTCGTATCGACAGGTTCCTGCCGGTTCACCCTCCGACTTGTGATGTTTGTTTTGCTGTCGTCAAACAGGTGGAAAACCGTTACCACAGTGCTGGACGCGCTCGCCGCTTCTTTCACTCTGTGTCCAGGGGTAACGACAGCACGGTGCCACGCCTCTTCGCCATTGTGACTGAACAACAGAGGAAGCAGCTGGTGGACGCTGCTCAGAGGTAACGGCAGCTGTGTCACATGACGCTCCTCCTGACAACACCACATGTGTTTGATCTAAAGAGAGTTTGTGTGGTCCAGGTCTCACTGTGGTCATGAAGGTCTGCCTGTCCTGCCAGAGAACGGCCTCGGTCATCGCATCTGTGGACTGTTTGAGAACGCCATAGCGACGGCCACAGGCGCTCACTGTCCTCTGCTGTGGAGGATGTATATGCACTACCTGGTGAGACGTCCGAGTACAGACAGTACACGTGCATGTTAACTCCTACCAGAATGTTCCACATATTTAGCCTCAACATTGTGGTTTTTTTTTTTTTTTTTGTCTGTTTTCATGAACTTTAATCTTTGTTTATTTCAACCGACACTAAAATCCTACACAAATATAGACATTTTGTTTAGTAATTTTGTGTGTATGCAACATGCCTGTATGTATTTATATATATTTATGTGTGTGTGTGTGTGTGTGTGAGAAGTTTTCAGAAGGAAAAGTGGAGAAGGCCACAGGGATCTTCTACAAAGCTCTACAGAACATTCCTTGGGTGAAGGTAAAACACAAACATTAAATTGAAAAATGATTGCAGTTTTTTTACATTTAAATATAAACGTGTGATTGTTGATATGTGTCGTCGTGTGTGTGTGTGTGTCTGTGACCAGGGTTTGTACATGGATGCTGTGAAACTCTTCCCTGAACATCTGCAGCAGTTCATCGACGTGATGACAGAGAAGGAGCTGCGTCTCAGACTGCCTTTAGAAGAACTGGAGATTCTTCTGGAAGACTGAACACACCCTCACCCTCACCCTCACACTCACACTCACACACACACACACTCCTGCCCAGACGGAGCGTTCTTCAAATACCCATCATTTTATGTACATAGATTCTAACATTAAAAAACATGGTTTTTGTCCAGTGTTTTTTTTTTGTTTGTTTGTTTTGTAAAGTTCCACCACATCGTGATGGACAAGTCTTTAAAGACTGACTGACTGACTGATGAATAAATGATCACTGTCCTGTATGTGGTCTGTAATGGTAAAGAGAATCACTTCTCTGTAGAATAAAAAAACACTGATGTAAACGGGGAACTTAAACAAACTTAAATCATCTTCTTCAGCGTTGACACAGGAAATATTCTACATATTTTAATGTAGCAACGATGTCCAACAGTGTTCAGATGTTTGTGACAAAGTCCTCACTGCTGTATCAGTGCTTTTATGGCCTAGAATGATGGACATCATGGGGTTACAAAAACAAAACTGGAAACAGGACCAAACTTTACTGACCCTCAGCTGCCTCTGGAACAGGAGACTGTAGGATATTAAAAAGTACTACGTGTGCAGGTAAAAGGTAATACTGCATGGAGTCAGATTTAAATATTAGATTTGTTTTTGCTAATTATCGTGGGACCTTCACATTTCCAGTGTCATTTGTTACAAAAACATTGCTTCCTAATAACTTAATCAAAGTTTAATTTAATTATTTAAAAAACCTCTAGGTTTAGAATATTTAGAATTAGTTTTAATTCTATAATTCATCATTATGTTTGTTTTCTGTTTCAACAGTAAAAACATTATTTTAATCGCCTTTTTCTCACTTATCTCCGTCTGATTAAGTTCAAACACCAACATATTCATCAGCGGTGGCCGCTTCCTCCCGCCGTGTTTGCCGCGCGGTGGTTTGACGCATTGCAGATCTGCCCCGACCAATCAGCGGCGTCTGTACTGTGTACAGAATATTGCGGGTCTACACTCTCCAATCAGAATCTCCGTCTAAAATACAAACCCGCAACTTCCCCCAGTGTCGTCAGACGTAACGTGTATCCTTCCACCTGAGTGTAAGTCTGCGTAGCATAAAATAGTCCTTTATTTACCGCCTCGATGTGTTTTGAGAAATTATAAGATGTTTCACGAACACGTACGTATAAGGTAAAGGCTCATCAACAAATGTGTGCACGTGTCACTGTGTTAGGCAACGTTAGAGACTGATTAGTTCACGTATTATTTCCCTTCACCAGCAGGATGCTAATCAGGTGGGTTTGAAAACTACACTTGTGGCACGGTGTGATTGTATCGTCTACTGGTATCAATACAAATAGTTCCGAACATTGTGAAGAAGAGAACTGAATTAAAGTTGTCAAATACCAAAAAAAAACTTTTTTACAATTTAAATTAAATTAAATAATTTAAAATTAAATAAATAAATAAAATTAAAATTAATGAATGTAAATCAAGTGTTTGAACATTTCTGTCATTGTCGGTGTCCGAAGTGTCTTCATCACAACCACAGCCATAAGTTAGAGTTCGATAGATCGGCCAGCGACTTATAATGTCTGCGCTGTTTATCACAGTTTCTTTGTTTATGTATCGATAGCATGACATCTGACCAACGGGGCGTAACTGTCACGTCATCGTATTTGACCCATTACAGAAACAAGATGGGAATAAACTTACTTTAAAAAAAATTACGGTAATAATAAAGTTGAGTTGTAGTTGACGGAGTTCAGCCGAGTGACGAACATACAACTGTGGAACCGCGCTTAAAACGCATGCGCTCATGTTGAGGAGCGGTTTCCTCCACAGCGCGGAGGAATACACTGTTTGAAGGGAAGTAGTTCGTGTCGTTTTGCCCGCCTCCAGACAGACATTCAGCGGCAGTCGTCCATTTCTTTTCCTTGCCAGCGCTAACACCGACAGCACCAACCGAGGCAGACATGGTGAGTGTTAAAGCAACTGTGGGTTTTGTGTTATATGTGGTTTTGGGTTTTGTTAACCGGACACCAGTCATGGTGTCCTGGAGCGGTTGTCCCACTAAAAGTATCATTTGTCTTCAATGTAGCGCGTCCGTGTAGAATTGTGTCGAACGAGGACATGATTCAGTGAAACGGGTTGTTAACACGTGAAACAGTGGCTAAAGGCTGAAAGGGTCGTTGTTAAATATTGTTGTTGGTGCTGGGGTTTTTTTTACGCTCACTTTTTGTTACAGGTGGTCGTAGTTGAAGCGGTTCGGCTTGATGTCTGTTAGCATTTAAGAGCATCACCGGTAGCCGGTTCTCTTTCAGCTGACATCGCCCGTAACCAACGCGAAACTTGCACAGTTAAATTAATATTCAGAAAAATATCGTGTTGTTTGAGGATTGTTACAAAATGGTGGTTGGTTGTTGCTCAGTCTGAACATAGAATCTGATGCCGGCGTTGCACCGTCATTTGTTAGCAATGATCAGATGTTCAGTCGATCGAATGACTGACGGGTGAGGTGCTGCTGTGGTCCACTTCTGGACACCGGACGAAACTGCGGCATCTATTGGAGAATAATGTCTAGATCCTGATCAGGTAGACCGTTAACAGCGGTCTACAGACCTATTCCAGTTGCGCTTTTCTCCCATTAACCCAACACCTGGTAATATCTTCACGGAGAGATTAGCGTTAGTCACGTATACGAAGTTAATCGATCAGCAGAATTATAATCCATGTTTGTTTTTATTCAAAGACATTTGGTTTGACTCATGTTTGTCATTGTACCGACTGTCACTTCTGTAGTTCACAAATGTCTACACTAATTGTTTTTTTTAATTCAAAATACTTTTATTGTTGTTTTTTTATTCTACATTTTTTGTACTATTTCCTGGTCTTTATGTCAGTATGAAATGCTGCCTCAAAGGCCTTAAGAGGTGCTGCCATCAAGAGGACACGGTGCTCAATGGTTGGATTCACGTCAAAAGTTCTGGTTCCTGAAAGGCATCACCGTAGAACCATTTGGTGGAGGGTTTAGTACCTGGTTACACAAGAGTACTCTAAAAACTAAATCTCCTGAGGTGGAAGTTGTTCCTGTGACTGGTCGTCCAACGATGTCGTCCAACGATGTCGTCCTACGATGTCATCAACTATAGTTTGTATTGGAATGTTATCACATCATCTGCATATACATACATGTATATATAAACTTGTAGTATTACTTGACCTGGTAATGATGGCGGGGGGGGGGGGGGGGGGGGGGTAGGGGGTATTTGACATATAATATGTGATATTCGCTCCTGTTGGTATTTTAGCTGCATTTGTTCGCTGCACTACGCAAAGTTTACGTTTAGGTTATAATTATAAAGCTGATGGTTTTTACACAAGAAACTGAGCAGTGGTTTACTTCAGTCTGAGACCAGTCCTTAGACCAACAAGAGTGTGGTTGTTGTTGGGGAAATTATATTATTATTATTATTATTATTATATACTTATTATTTATTACTTTCTATTTTATATGAGCCATAATTTCTACCCCAAACAGACACAAAGCTGATTGGATAAAGACAGAAAAACCCGTGTGGTCAGGTGGATTATAACACGTTCAACTTCCACGTGTTTGTCAACCGTCTGTAACATCTCGTCCTTAGGGTGTTTTGGTTGCTGTACCATTTACACATCTTTGAAACATGTTTTTTCCTACTGTGACCGATGGACTTGTCCTCGTCTCGTGTGCCTCTGGTTTGTCGTCCCTGCAGCGTAGGTTTGGGAACTGACACTGTGTTCCAAATTAGACCGCGCTCTCAGCAGACATGCTTCACTTTGTCTTTAATGAACCCTCAGCAGGTCGCTGACAAAACCAGTTGTTGTGGTTTAAAACTCCTTCTATATTAAACCGAGAGGAGAACTGAGACATCACTGCTAACATGGTGCAGCGCCTCCTTCAGGGCTCATCGATGGTAACGGTTACATCGTCAGTATCTGTTGACTATAGAGTGAACTGTACGTCAGTCACTTCATAGAGTTTCACAGCTGACTTACTGTATGTCATGTTAGAGGCATCTACATTTTAGTCTTTATTAAATATAGACTGGCTGATGGATTCTGAATTGTTTTGCCACAAAACCATTCTTTGAATTTCCAGGAATTTGCACATGGAGTTAATTGTCCGTTGTCATGACTGGTTGTTAATTAATTTTGGTTTGGGCCGGTCGTTGTGACAAGTCTTGATACTCCAGATGAACCCTGGGAAATCAGTTTGTCTGAGCAGTGCTGCTGCTCAGGAGGCCAGATGTCCTGCTAGCTGATCCTCCCCAGGAGCTGCAACTGTAGCAGTGAGATGACAGCGCACAGATAAAACATGCATCAGTCTCCATCAGCTCTCCTGGTCTGGACACAGTTACCATGGACCATGTGGCCTCAATTATTTCTGCTGAAGCGCCTCTCCTCAGACCTCCTGGCCTCTGTCCACGCATTCTCTTCACCGTCAATCTGTTAAAGTACCTCTGAGGGTAGACGTCCTGCAGGAGGTGGACCCAAACGAACACCCTTGGGGTTTTCTGACGTCTCACCTAAAGTTAGAGGTAAATCCAGGGGTGAACGGCGTCCAGTCACCAACACTTGAAGTGCTGCGAGAGGATGGACTGTTAGAGCGACGGTTGTCTTCTGAGAGGTTGTTGCCGTGCTCCTGTGCAACAACCGTGGACTTTACTCCAATGTACCTTAGAAATGAAATTGGTGTAACGTTCTCCACTGTCTTTTTCTACGTCTTCTGACCGTCGGGAACCACTCGCAGATGTCTGGCTATAATTATTTTTATTTGGAAACTCCCTTCCACTCAGGACGTCCATTTTACCCTGCCTGCAACTGTTGCCCCATGCTGCCCAAGGAAGTTGCTCTGTACCCAGAGGAGGAGCTGGTCAGTTTGTCCACCCTCTACGACCTCCTGGATGAACAGCAGCACTACTTCAGAGAGCTCCTCGGGCAGCAGGAGAGGAGCTACAGGGCCTTCCTGCAGATGCTGATGGACGCCTCCTCCGGTCGTGTGGACAACCTGCTCAGAGAGATGCAGGACCTGAGGACCTGCCTGCAGAGAACCAAGTCAGAGTTGGCTGAGATGAAGAAGCAGGGCGTCCAGCTTGGCCGGCGTGCCGAGTGTCTGGCCGAAGGTCTGGTGATGGTGCGCGGGGCCCTGGAGGGGCTCAGCATCAAAGGAAGGAGTGAAGGTGCACCGCAGCCTCGCAGAGCAGGAGGTGGCGGCGGCTTGAGGCTGGACGGAGGAGCTCGAGGAGGCGCAGGGAGGGTTGGAGCTGTGAAAAAAGCTGAACCTAAAGCAGTGAAGCTGGTGGCAGACCTCACAGATATTTGTTTTGACAATATTCAGGTTGTTACATCATGTGACTCATTGGTTGGTGATGTGTAGTTCACACTGGACAGTAGAAAAGTGTAAAGATATACATACATATATATATATATACACTGGAATATTGCAATATTTGGTTTCACAAGGACTTCATATATTAGAGTATTTGAGTCTTTTCATTTGTTTATCCACAAAATCCTACAGTTTTTCCTTCTTCTCTAGTGTTTCCTGCTGGGGGGGGCAGGGGGGGGGGGGTCACACTCTGAGCCTCCACTTTAGTTGTTATTGAAAGTCAAACTGGAGTTGTTTTGTCAACGTCCAGATCTGTTTTTGACTTCCTTCGTTCTTCTTCCAGGCGGACCAGCTAACAGAAGAGCAGATCGCAGGTAAGATGTCGACGTCACAACAGAGTTTGGTTCTGATGTGTTCTCGAGTCGGTGACGGTGTCGTGACGGTGACGTCCTGTGTTCCCTCTTCTTGTGCTGGTTTAGAGTTCAAGGAGGCCTTCTCCTTGTTCGATAAAGATGGAGATGGAACCATCACCACCAAGGAGCTGGGCACAGTCATGAGGTCACTGGGTCAGAACCCCACTGAGGCCGAGCTCCAGGACATGATCAACGAAGTGGATGCAGACGGTTCGTCCTCCGGCTCTTTGACGTTGGTGAGGACTGATTGGACGTGGACGTTAATTCACTGCCGTCTGGTTTGTGTCACCTGCAGGAAACGGAACTATTGACTTCCCAGAGTTTCTGACGATGATGGCCAGGAAGATGAAGGACACCGACAGTGAGGAGGAGATCAGGGAGGCCTTCAGAGTCTTCGATAAGGTTGGTCTGACTTTGACCCTTGACCTGCTCTTGGCTTGTTCCAATTTGAACTAATGCCATCTAGGGGTGTAAGAAAACATTTGGGTTGGATTGTATTGATGGAGTCAAATGTTTCTGTTGCTGCTGTCGATTGGTCAGGATGGCAACGGCTACATCAGTGCGGCAGAGCTGCGTCACGTGATGACCAACCTGGGAGAGAAACTGACGGACGAGGAGGTGGACGAGATGATCAGAGAAGCCGACATCGACGGAGACGGACAGGTCAACTATGAAGGTACGGGAGGTCGGGGGTGTTTACGCCACGCTAATGCTACTGCCGAGCTAACGGTGTTAGCTGGTGACAGAGGGACACGGGTACAGACACGGGTACAGACACGGGTACTGACTGTTTGTGTTTCCACCCACAGAGTTCGTTCAGATGATGACGGCCAAATGAACTTCTGCTTCGAGACAAAGAGTTGGTCAAATGTTTCACTTACCTCTTACTGCGACACCTACATTTCTTCATACTGTTGTGTACAAACAACTTCAAAGTGAACGTTGAAAAACTGAAAATCCTCCCCGTAGAAAACAAGCTCAAAAAAGGTAAAAAACAAAACCAGAAAAACCCAAAAGAATCTGCATGTATCCCCCCCCCCCCGGCACTGAGCTCCTCCC